GTTTTTTTATCGCTGAGGTATAATAACGGTTTATAACATTAATTAACAATTCAGTCTCGTGATTTCGTTAAGTTTTCAGATAAATAGCCTACTACAGCAAACATGTTCAAAGTAAAAATCAATTTTGTTTGGCCCATATAACCACCCTCTCATTAAATAACAGATCTAAACAACAAACTTATCACCTTTTACAAATTTTTAAACTTACTCATAATTTCAAATGTGAGTACCGACTATAATTCGGCCGGTTAGAAAGCGACCTCCTCCAGCATTGGTTTAGCATTAGCGCGCAGGTCGTTTTCTAAGCGGCCGAACTATAGTTTAAGTTCAACATGAATCTAAATGTTATTAGATATATTTTATTATAACAGTTCGTAAAATGGATAACAGTTGCAAAATTTTGTAAGATTTAGGAAATATGGAAAGCATTAGTTAGAAAGGTTTGATAAGAATTACTGTACGGCGAGACAAATCACTCGCATTTTCATTATCACAAAGGTCAAGCTAGAGTAATCTGCAATATTTTTCTAACAATATTTGTGTTTGATTCCTTTACAAAATTCTTATCAGACTGACTTACCGTTTCTGCGGCTCAGTGAAGAGGTTCCTGTAGGCGGTGCTGAGTAGACCAAACGCTACGATGAACAGAAGTAACTCCCGGTAGATCAGCTTGTAAAGGGAGTAAAGGAATGGGTGGTTTTAAGCGATACAATTTTCACTACCAAGAAACACATAAAAGTCCAATGAAGGTAGTGCTATGTAACTATTGACATTGAGGGATGCATAAAACAACCCCTTGAATGGGAAGATAAAGAACGTATTGACACGGCGGAGTGATCATAAAGATACGTTTGGAGACGAAAAGTTAACAAACTGTCGAACAACAATGATGGGCGTTTCGTACAACTATGACTACAGGGCGAAACTTTATTACATACTTTGTACTTTTTGTGCAGCCAATAATCAAAGCATTACTGTACATTTACGTTTAATAATATTTTTTAATGTTTGTTTTTCTTTCTATAAAAATAAGCTAAAATTCAGTTATAGCTTTTATGACTAATAGATAAATTCCGTTTTAGCTTTTATGTCAATTAAATAGTGCAAAAGAATAAATTATAGTAATTCAAATCAAAATCTAAGTTAATTTACACACTAAGATTAGATCAAGTGACATGGTATACACTACGTTATGAAAAATCTTCAAGAATATCTGATGAAAGTGCCAAACAAAGCTAAATTAAATATGTGCGTTCATATTTATATATCAATTCAGTTATTAGAATAAATATTGCAGCAACCTCTGTGTTCATATTTAGTTTGGGAATTAAAATGGTGTATTCTTTTATTTTTGTCCAGTTTGTTTGAACGCTTTTGAATTTTTTACTTCGGAACAGTAGATCGATGAACAGTACAAACCCTGTTTTTTATCACTATTTACAATGATGGTCAACATATTACAAGAAAGCATAGTTAATTAAAAGTCCAATGACAAATGGCATCTGGGTCCGTAATCGTCTACGCTTGGTATCGAACCAGCGACGTTCAGCTTTAGAGGCCACCGATAACCAACCACTTGGCCAACCAAATACTAGTCTTGTATAAGAAGACCACGGTTGTTCACCGTTTGCGGGTAAAATCAATAAAATAGAACGAATAAAAAAAATCAAAGCTTTATGAGAAACTAGCAGAGTACCCGTCCTTCGTACGGGGTTGGAATATAAGTATAAAATGCTTATTGCAGTTATACTCAAGCTTTGCAATTGCAATGGGTGGAGGACACAGTTTGATAAAATTTGCTTTTTTTAAATTTACAGTATTCTATAGTATTACACATCTACCATAGCCATAATGTTCTACCATTTTACCTAAACAATAGAGAAAAATAAATTATCAATTCGCAAAATATCACAAATTATTCATGAAATGAAAAACATATACATAACTGTAAACAATCCTACTTTGACAGTTCTCATTGCGAATCACAGTTTTTGTTGCTGCTTAGTTCAAATTAGCTGTTTTCATAAATGCAAAAAAAATATAGTGCTGCACCCTGTTGGTAAATCTTATAACTTTTTAATGCTTTTCCATATCATAGAACCAACTTTTTTAGTTGAAACAGCTGACTAAATTCTTTAATTCCCTTTAAATATGAATACTCATAAGGTTAACATGGGGAATTACAGAGCCACTGGGGCGGAGCCCGAAAGGATTTTTGAGATAAGAATATGCCTATATGTTAATCGGGAATGTAAGCTATCATCATGCCAAATTTCAGCCCAATCCGTCCAGTGGTTTATGCGTGATTGAACTTCAAACAAACAAACAAACAAACAAACAAACAAACAAACAAACAAACACACAAACTTTCACATTTATAATATTAGTAAGATTGTGACATTATAATGAGCTCGATTGAAAATCTAACCTACTCTAATAACTTTTATAACCCACTCTAATAATAAATAACGTACACCCTTTTAATTAGGAACCTAAATTATTCAATTTTCCCGTATTATTTAGAGAATGTGAATTAATTTAAAAATTCACATAAGTCTTTAGATGTGTGTTTTACATACAGTCTTACTATTTTTCCCAACTATAATTTGATACTTTTAGCCCCTCTCTAGTACTTATTATAAGCAGAATCATTGCTAGACTAATATTATGTCACCGGATGAAATCACGTTCTGGACGTAAAAACTTGTTTACACGATGATGAAAGGGAAGGGATGAATATGGTTTTGACCACACTGGACAACCCTGCATATTATACTTGTTTGAGAACTCTTGCAGTTGATACAAATGAATAACTTGTAATAGTATGAATGAGAGATTACGACAAGATTTTGCATGTCTATTCTTGTAAAGTGTTACATTCAAATTGTATGTATACCGTGTAGGTAATTTACCAAATAAAAATATAGGCATGTGGCACATCAAATTGAAGCTTAGAGTGTGTAGATTTGCCGAAAATATTGGTATGAACGAATTTCTTAGGGGCTCTGCCCCACAGGCCGATTTCCAAAGGGCTATACGTTTAACATGCTTCCAAAGTGTAAATGATTTGATTTAATTTATTTATTTTACTAAACAGCTGGTCAATGCAACTCTTTATTGATAAAGATGTTTATTATGATGCTTTCATTAGTTTGAGGGTTATGTTTGGTTAAAGAAAGGTTGTATAAGTTTTTTAGTCTTGATATTGAGTTTAGTATAGAGTATTACAGTTAGTATACAGTTTCAATTACAATTTATATAGTAAGCTACATGTAAAGAGGCTTGGCTAAAATTGAAAAATTATGGTAAAACATCTCATTGATGAAGCATACATCTTAAGTAATTGATGTTATTGCTACACTAAGGTATGTTGTCATATTCTTTTGAATCTATTGACATCAAAAGTAGGAGTTTGGAAGTAAGTAGATTTACACTTTTAAATCAGTTAATATTTATAAATTAAATCATATAGTTGTTGTATTTTTAACAGCACCATTTATACACTAAAATGGCTGCCTAGGTAACATTTTCTTCCCGTAGCAAAGCACGTGTATATCAGCTCGTATTATTTTAAAGACGACCTGAATCTAAAAACAAATGCGTCGATATGTTTTTTTATGTTTTTTTTATATAAATACCTTCACTAAGAGTGAAGGTTAGTTTATAGTTATTACATTGTTGGTTGTGTATTTTGGAAAACGCTTAACAATACATTAAGCTACTAAATATTTAGGTTAACATTTAGAGGTCTGTGTGGAAATCTAATTGATTCTTAGAATAATTTCCACAATTAATGGATGCCTACAAAATATTTATTTTTTTATTTCACATCAAATTTACAAGTTAAAAAATATCGCATACTGTATCCTTTTTTGCCATCTAAAAAGGAGCGTAGTAAACCTAAGCATTTAAAATTAGCACGGCAGTTCATATCTCTTAACTTTATGGCATTGGGATGTAGCCAAATCATAATAACATGGCAGAATTAGTTCTATTCTACGATAAGCTGTTTCTACTTTAACTGTACAATTACTAACAAATGGGCCTTTTACAGTTATTCCTTGGTATAAATAATCAACTAGGTAGTGTCCAGAGTGTATTGTTTAATACCTTATTTTTAACATTAATTGTTTGGTAAACATTTTATATCGGTATAGGTAATATTGTTAGATAGTATCTTAAACATAAAAGGGATATTTAGAAAATAGCCAGATGGTTTCACGAAACCTACTTGGAATAGCTATTAAAACTTAAAACTATGTAGGATTGTCAAAGTTTTCAAAAATATTATTTTGTGTTTTGCAAAAGATAGAAGTCATAATTTAAATATAAAAAAACTCAAAGTATGTTGGTTAAAGATAAAATTAACGGCGGACAAAAATAGCTGAACAACTTTAAAGTACTTTGTCGGATAGTCAAGAGATAGTTTCTAAAAAATAAATTAGGCTATATTGAAATATTTGTTTAGGCCTAGTTGTTTTTTATTTATTTATTTTTATTTTTATTTATTATACCTGAGGTATAATAAAGGTTTATGACATTAATTAACGATCGAGTCTCGTGATTTCGTTAAGATTTCAGATAAATAGCCTACGACCTACAGCAAACATTTTTAAAGGGTGGTAAAATCAATTTCGTTTGGCCCTTATAACCACCCTCTCAGTAAATGACAAATCTAAACAGCAAGCTTATCACCTTTTACAAATTTTAAAACTTACTCATCATTTCAAATGTGAGTACCAACTAGGTTTTAGTGTAATTTATATCTAAATAATATTAGATGTTGTATTAAAAGTTCGTAAATTTGATAAAGTTTGATAAATGTTGTAAGATTAAGGAAATATGGGAAGCATTAGTTAGAAAGGTTTGATAATAATTACTGGCGAGACAAAAGACTCGCATTTTCATTATCACAAAGGTCAAGCTAGAGTAATCTGCAATATTTTTCTAACAATATTTGTGTTTGATTCCTTTACAAACTTCTTATCAGACTGACTTACCGTTTCTGCGGCTCAGTGAAGAGGTTCCTGTAGGCGGTGCTGAGGAGACCGAACGCTACGATGAACAGTAGTAACTCCCGGTAGATCAACTTGTACAGCGACCCTCTCCACATGAACAACAACCGTGTGAACCCCCCGGAGGTGGAGGACGCCACCTCGTACTGGTAACTGACCGTCATCCTCGGGAGTCCCTGTCCGCATGGGGTGTGGACCGAAGAGGAAGTCTGACTCTAGAGGAGTCACACAACACGGAGCAACTCACTCTCTTACTATAGCGACATTTGCAATTGAACGTACAAGATTCTCACGCAGTTTCTTAAGGAGTTTCTGTCCGCATGGTGTTTGGAGTGAGGAGGATGTCCAATTCTAGAGTAGTCGCCAAAACAGAGGAACCCTTCTATAGCAAGTTTCGTAACTGAACATACAAGTTGCTCACGATTTCATGCAGTAGTTTCGTAGTTACAGAAGTGAGTAGAATATCTGGTTTCGATTCTAAAAAGAGATGGAGTTTCTTCTTAATATTGATACATATATTCACAAAAGAGCGTTTTTATACACACTTTCCTAGCAAGCCGCACTATCAGTATGATTCACTAGGATGGAGTTAAAAAGTCGTTGCTCTTGTAGAACATCTATGTAAAAACATTCAACTAAAGTTCTTGAGAATGGCTTGGTCACAACACAATTTTCTTCCTACAATAACTCACGAACTGAAAACAATCTCAACAAGGTAAAATTAATAAGTGTGCTACTTTCAACTTCTTTTAACGAATTTCCACCTACGAAATATTTTAATTGAACCCCGTGTGCGATTTGGTCACGTCATCTAAGAGATTTCACTGATCTATCGGACATGCCTTGACCGAATGTCTTCCACCTTCTCTCACTCACTGAACGTCACACTCAACGCGCCGCCGCCGGTAGACTGGACCTCTGGACACTTAGTCACACTGCCACACTCTCTTACTACTGTGTGTCCGACTCTGTTCTGGCACACCACTTGACCTGCTGCCAATCTATTCTTCCTCCACAAAATGTGTCTGTACATATCAAAACTATATTTTGCCGTACGTTTGAAGAAGCGTATCTAGCTGTTGGATTTGTGTACTCCTACGAATTTAAAGGTGCTGTTTCGTTATGGAAAAAAGTGCTAGGTGAAATATTATATGTGAATAATAGATACTTAAAATTAAGATGATTTGATAAATTTCACTTTTTTAAATATGTGATATATTTTGAATCTCACAAAACAGTGGGTGATTTAAAAAAAACCGTAGGTGTTAGATGAGTAAATACATAGCCTACTCATGTTGCAGAAAACCTAATGTTTATACACATTTTCTAGTGTTTTGTGCATGTCTAAAGAGTCATAATTGGAATCTAAATTGAACTAAACTAGAAAATATTTGTTAATCAGGAGTCTGGGACTGGCTATTTTACCATAGATAAAACATACTTCCTTAGGTTTTACTTACCACCAAAAACGCCAGGAGTCAGCAGTAATAAAATAAACTAAAAATGCACTTGTCACATGATTCTAGAAACTTAGCAAACTTCCACATAATTTGGATTTTATTCAAACTGGTTTGTTATACAAGAAATACTGTTTTAGATTAAAGCGTAAAATTGGCTTAATGGTTACAACTTGTATTTGCTGATTCGGTGGACATAACAAATGTTTTGGTATTTGGATCAAATTTTCAAGTCTACAACTATTTAAAGAAAATTTTGCCAAATAGAAAATTCCATGCAAAGTATAAATAAGCCTGTTTTAATACAGTAGATTTATTCTCCGAAAGGATGACATGAAAGACGACGTTGTGCTGTGTTCTGCATAACGGCAGTCAGAAGGCAGAAAATGAAATTGGTAAATGCAACATTTTTTTTCGTTAAATCAAAAGGGAAAGACTATTGTTTTTTACTTTTATTTTTAATATGCAAATTAATGTCAAAAATTAATTTTAAGGATACAAACCCGGTCATTATCATCATATCGGGCTGATTCGCCAACTCGTACAGATGGTGACAAATTGGTTTGCTTTTGTTCTTTTGTGTATATTCTTTCTAGTCGAACTGTAAACCCGAATTGGCATTCAACTAAAACAAGTGTTCAGTAAAGTCAATAAGGTTACGTCTAAAGACAGAATACCTACCCTACAGCCTTAATTATTCTTAAATAGTTAATGTTAGGTAATACAATTTTGCCTGTGTTTTTAATGTGTTTATCACCCTTATACATTTCGCAAGCATCGTTGGCATCTTAACTTACTTGGTAATGCTTCTCGTAACAATATAATTTTAGGTGATGGTCAAAACCAGAAATTTCGAATCTCGAAACCAAAACCGAAACTTAAAAAATCGAATCCCGAATCTCGAATCTCAAAACCTGAACGCGAAACCTTTTAGTTACCTGGTCAAGTTGTTAAAAATACAGGTACTATAATGATAACATTTTAATAATGTTTTTGCGATCAAAACTTAAAGGGATTTAACTCCTGATCCAGACATAATGACATAAATGTGATGGATAAACTTCAAACCCAAAATAACAAATTTCTTTTATAAACAACAAAGTTAACATTAAAATAAATGAAGTTCTTGACATTAAAATAAACATGAATATTACATTAATTAGAACATTTAGTGGTGAATATTGTTTAAAAAATTACACTGTTTTTGTTGTTTAAATTATAATGTTTATAAAATTTTTAATATTGCTATGAAACTGAATTGTAAGCTGTTCCAGTATCTAGGGTGCCTTTTGCAGTTCAGTTCAGAATACAATTTACTTGTTTCATTAGTATTAATGGAGATGTGTTTTCTCCATTGCTACCAGCTTGTGTGTAAACAACAGGGTTGTTATAAACAATAATAATGACATAATAAAAAAAATGGCATTTAAAAAAATAAAATTGCCAAATCTTCCAATTTCGAAACTTTTGAATCTGGAAACTCGCCTATCGAATCTCGAAACCGAAACTGTTCCAAAGTTTTGATGGTTTTGACATTTGAGACTTGGATTTGACACATCACTATTAGGTACCATGCTTTTTAGTCAAGTCAAAGGTGCAACACTTTTAATACAGCTTTGGAATATATTAAATCTCGTTCACTAACAAACCATCGATCAGAGAATAAAACGGTTACTGTGTTCAAGAGAGAAATCTTCTTACGTCTTTACCACTTACTCTTCGCAGCATCTCTTGTCCCAATTACAGTATTCAAATAAAGTGTCTTATTTGTAATTAGGTGCCTGTGTTAATACTTCGCTACGTGTGATCAGGCGAATGCAAATAAAACAATTGATGTTATCATTGTTACGCACAATTAGGACCATCGTCGATGATACAATTAAATGAAGTTGTGGTTATTCTTTTTTAGCATGCTGGCGAATCGATATCTAACTTACAAACACGCTCCACGACATTGAAGAAAGTCCTTGTAGACAAAATAACAAAATGGTAATATTTCTACGTGGTACTCCTCGATGGTCTAATATATATTTGTTAAAATTGTCAGCTAATTGAGTTCTTCTTGGTAAAGACAACCAGATTCCTAATTTTTGTATTAGTATATTTGAAAACTGATAACTTAATCGTTATATTAAATATCAAAAATACAGTACTAACAGGTTGATCATGATAGTAGGGCCTATTTAAGTTCAACGTGTATGAAAATGCGTCCTAGAAAAATGTATACAATTACAAGTCACTATATTTAGATATTTTATAAAAGTGTTATACATTGTTGTGGATTATTTATTGCATCCAAGAGTTTTTTCGTATAAGAACTTTTTATGTGAGATACAAACGAAAAACTGATCTTATTTTATATTGGCCTCCCTGTCTTCAATAATGGAATAGTCTGTGCTCGCCTTTAAGTTTGAAGGTCAATGGTTAGATCTTTCTTGATCCAGATGGCATTTAGATATAAAACACTGTGGATAACTAGCTATCTAACTGGATTTAACGGTCGACGTTAGATAGTAACAATACCAGAATTTGATCTCTAACAAAAAGCTTGAAAAATGCCCAAAAGGTGTAAATATTTACAAATAATAATAATAATAATAATAATATATTTATAATCACATCTCCGACGTTCTTACATCCAGATCTCCCACAAATCAGTGGCAATCTTGGAGGTCGAAGATCAGATTGAGTGTTAGAAGCGAACGACTTGTAATTTTCAATTGAATGGATTACAATGACAAACGTCGTTGGAGGTTTGGCTGATCACGTAGAAGGAAATGTCCTTGTAAAATAAAGGCAAAATAAATACATACAGGGTGTCCCGTAACTCTCTGTATATATCGTTCTTGTTTAGGTCAAGACAAACCCATTTCACCATAGGAACATGGGTCTGTGGTGTTAAGTTTTCCGTCTGTCTATATTTATATGTTTCACAAAACAATTAATAACTCCTAAATGGTTTGAAATACAGTGTTGAGTTTTGCCAAAATGTGTATATTATTGTATCTTTTATGTATCTTTTGCAAAACTCAACACTGTATTTCAAGATGCTGCGAAGAGTAAGTGGTAAAGACGTAAGAAGATTTCTCTCTTTGACACAGAGTAACAGTTTTATTCTCTGATCGATGGTTTGTTAGTGAACGAGATTTAATATATTCCAAAGCTGTATTAAACGTGTTGCTGATTGATACCTTTGACTTGACTAAAAAGCATGGTACCTAATAGTGATGTGTCAAAACTAAATCTCAAATGTCAAAACCATCTTTGGAACAGTTTCGGTTTCGAGATTCGATAGGCGAGTTTCCATATTCAAAAGTTTCGAAATTGGAAGATTTGGCAATTTTATTTTGTTAAATGCCATTTTTTTATTATGTCATTATTATTGTTTATATAACCCTGTTGTTTACACACAAGCTGGTAGCAATGGAGAAACCATTAATACTAATTAAACAAGTAAATTGTATTCTGAACTGAACTGCAAAAGGCACCTTAAATACTGGAACAGCTTACAATTCAGTTTCATAGCAATATTCAAAATTTTATAAACATTATAATTTAAACAACAAAAACAGTGTAATTTTTTTAAACAATATTTACCACTAAATGTTTTAATTATGTAATATTCATGTTTATTTTAATGTCAAGAACTTCATTTATTTTTAATGTTAACTTTGTTGTTTATAAAAACAATTTGTTATTTTGGGTTTGAAGTTTATCCATCACATTTATGTCATTATGTCTGGATCAGGAGTCAAATCCCTTTCAGTTTTGATCGCAAAAACATTATTAAAATGTTATCATTATAGTACCTGTATTTTTAACAACTTGACCTTGACCAGGTAACTAAAGGTTTCGCGTTCAGGTTTTGAGATTCGAGATTCGAAATTTCTGGTTTTGACCATCACCTAAAATTATATTGTTACGAGAAGCATTACCAAGTAAGTTAAGATGCCAACCATGCTTGCGAAATGTATATAGGGTGAAACACATAAAAAACACAGGCAAAATTGTATTACCTAACATTAACTATTTAAGAATAATTAAGGCTGTAAGGTAGGTATTCTGTCTTTAGACGTAACCTTATTGAAATTACTGAACACTTGTTTTAGTTGAATGCCAATTCAGGTTTACAGTTCGACTAGAAAGAATATACACAAAAGAACAAAAGCAAACCAATTTGTCACCATCTGTAAGAGTTGGCGAATCAGCCCAATATGATGATAAGGACCGGGTTTGTATCCTTAAAATTAATTTTTGACATTAATGTGCATATTAAATATAAAAGTAATAAAAAACAATAGTCTTTCCCTTTTGATTTAACGAAAAAAATGTTGCATGTACCAATTTCATTTTCTGCCTTCTGACTGCCGTTATGCAGAACACAGCACAACGTCGTCTTCCATGTTATCCTTTCGGAGAATAAATCTATTAAAACAGGCTTATTTATACTTTGCATGGAGTTTTCAATTTGGCAAAATTTTCTTTAAATAGTTGTAGACTTGAAAATGTTATCCAAATACCAAAACATTTGTTATGTCCACCGAATCAGCAAATAAAAGTTGTAACCATTAAGCCAATTTTACGCTTTAATCTAAAGCAGTATTTCTTGTATAACAAACCAGATTTAAACCCAAATTATATGGACATTTTCTAAGTTTCTAGTATGACGTGACGAGTGTATTTTTAGTTTATTACACATAGACTCCTGGTGGTTTTGGTGGTCAGTAAAACAGTCTCCGACTCCTGATTAACAAATATTTTCTAGTTTAGTTCAATTTAGATTCCAATTATGACTCTTTAGAATTTTATTATTAAGTCATTATAACATTTTAATTGAGCAATTTCTAGTTTTATTTAATAAACAGAATTATTTTTTTCTATTACTAAACTTTCGTTATATTATTTCATTATCAGCAAGTTTGGTTAGTTCTGTTAGGTTATGATAGTTTAATTTTATAATTAAATAAAAATAAAATTGAATTTGAGCCATTTATAATTTTATTTTATGAACATAACTATTTTTGCGATTAGTAAACCTTCATTGCCAAAGTGCTCTCTAATGCCTCAATCGTACCTCCCCTAAGTCAGACCCTGAAAATATCGACTTGACTCAGTCGGCTGGGCGGCTAGCCTGTAAAATAAAATTATAGTACCCAATCATGGCGGAAGGAAGTACCTAATCACATGTTTACTTTTTTTAGCTAGCCTCACTCCACTCTGTCAATCAGTTCAGTACAGTACTCAGTCAGTGTCACTCTTGAGTCTCGACCCTCGTGTACCCGTACTGTACTCAAGCCTGGTTTACACACGGGTCGAATACTCGAGTGGTCGAATCGAATTACTTACGTCTGTCGTCTGTTGTGTGTTGTGTAGACCGTAGACAAACAAAGGGCCAAATTCAAATTATTTATGCTAACCTAGGATCTAGTAATTAATTATTTATTGATTGATTCGGGACAAACTTTTGAATATAGCATTCCTTAATGTTAATTTTTTCTTTTAATTTATAGTTTATCTTAATTTCTGTGTCATATTTCAATTACTTAGGTAGGCCTTTAACTATGGAAGGGTCAGCAGAGGAGGATTCTCAGTTTGAAGGATCAGTAAAAATTCTAATGGAAATGGGATTTGAAAAAGAACAAGCCGAAGAAGTAAGTTAGGTTCAGTTTTAACAACATATTAACTGGATTTATTAACACTTAATTTAAGCCTTGGGCTAACTTAATGTCACAAACATTCCTAAAACCTCATTTTAGGGATGAAAGACTGTTTTTGTCCATAGGCAAATCTCAATAGTCAATGAATAAACCACAATAAGAATCGGCAGGCCCTAATACATTTCGCAAAAGTGGGGATTCTGATTACCAAGGCCTAGGCTTATTTAGAATCTTAAATAACTTAGGCCTAGCACTCGTTTTGTTAAACCAATTGTTGGCTGCGCTTTAGTCCTAAACTCAACCGAATGAAAATATTGATTATTCGATTGTTTCATTCGATATATTGTTTGTTTAGTTAGTTAGGTTAGGTTAACCTAAAAAATTACCATGTTTTCATCTTTTACCCAAAACCTACCTACCAACTAAATCTTTTAACCAACCTAACTAACCAAACGATATATCGAATGAAACAATCGATATATTCATTCGAATGAGTGTAGGGTGTAAAGTAAGTTAGAGTGCAGCCCAATTGTTACGGTATCATCGATTTCCATATCAATCCATCTCAGTGAATTTAATGGTTGGACTGGAATCAGATGGATTTGATTTTATAAGAATTTGGTTATGTAGGCCTAGACACACTTTAGGCCTACTAAAGTAAGTTAGGTAGGCCTAATAGTTTTACTTTTTAATTGTAGGCTATGGTTAGGTAGGCCTAATGTTGGGATTTTTAAAACTTTTTGTATTCATCAAGTTAGCCTTACTTATGTTAGCTTACTTTATAAATTAAATCCTACAACTTAATATGATAAGTTAGGTAACTTAATATCTTCACAAATCAGACATAGATGCCAATAAAAAACCGGCCATCCCTGCTACGATAAAAAAGGTACCTACAGATAAACACAAGTATTATACAGGGACGTTGACGTCGTTCTGTAATCCAGCTACTAGGAAATCTTGAATTGTGGAAATTTATAGGCATGCACTGTGTATGCGATACTCCCTGCTGTGGATTAATGTCCCAACTAGTGAGTACTTCGACTACCCGCAGTGCTATCCTGATAAATAACTTAATTAACCTAGACCAATTTGATGATTGTCACAAGGCAAAAATGTAGACAACAGACAATTTCCTTTATTTGTGATTTCTTCAAGAAATACAATGGCGTCACAAAAATCCAGAATGTTTTACATTTAGATTGTTTAACAGTTTACATTTCTTTGTGTTGAAAGTTCATTATTGGTCAAAAACCTCCTTAAGGGAGTACACCGGTCGTTCCTCAAGCCAGTTCCAGAGTTGCTGTTTTAGTTGGTTTTCTGTTGTGTTCTTGAGGTTGTTTGGAAGAGAGTTGATGATTTTGCAGCCAATATAAGAGGGTTTTCTGCTGTTTTGTGTAATGTGATTCGGTTCGGATTCCACTATAAACTCAAACTGTAGATCACTTAGTTGCCATTGGCTGTATGGGCTATAAGTATCACTCATATTTGGGTTAAAATACGCACCTATTGGCTTCCCCATCTTAAAATAATTGATGTAAGATCAATTCATCGAAGTCCAGGCACAAAGTGAGGGACTGGTAATGCCCTAATCTAACTGACCTGAAAAACTTGATGATGGCCTTCCGTCAAAGAGGGGATGTAACTTACACAATTGCCTAGCCCTGAAACATTTTTCAAATAAAAAGGTAAAAGAAGCCAAAAGGTCCTATTCTATTGGTTTTTTGTGCAGTCTGATGCCTGCCCGCAAATGAACTTATTGTTTTAGGTTTTGGGTGTAGTCTTGTTTTGTGTGTCTTTTTGTATTAACTAGACACAAGTCAAAATTCCCTCTTCCAGAGAGCAGGCCCACTTTTATAAATGGGCAGACTGGGCATATGCCCAGTGGCGTCATTTTGCCAAATCCTTGGGGGTGGCAAACACCGGAGGAAATGGGGGGGTATGGAATACCCCCCAGCAAACAAGGGGGGTTGGAAAATTTTGCAGTTTTGAAACAAAAAAAGAGGGGTTTAAGCTTATTTTAATTGTCAAAAGCACTTCAAATAAAAACAAAATTATGAGTAAAATTTATTTAAATTTAGGAAGAAAAGTAATGAAACTTAGAATTATTGACAACAGACAGAAACACAATAATTTTATGTTGGTAAGTTAGTCATCTAAAAAACGTGATCAGTAGTTCCATGATGTGTTCCTATTATGTTTGTTATTAGATTCATGACCAATTTCTCTTGTACATCATTTAGCAATGAATATGGTTGTTCATAGCCTATAGTTTATATTGGCTAGTACAGCATATTTTTTTCTCTAGCCCAGGATCCAGGGGGGGGGGCAAATGCCCCCCCTGCCCCCACCAGTGACGTAGCCAGGGGGGGGGTCCTGGGGGTCCGGACCCCCCCCTTCAGGTCTTAAATATAATATTTTTTGTTAAATTAAATGTAGAATTATATAATCATACTGTATTGACGTTGGGGTTGATTATTTTCAATGCCAAGAGAGCTAAAAAAGACCGTTTTAGGGTCTATATTTTTAAAAATTTTCCCGGACCCCCCCTTTACCTGGACTCCCCGGTCGGTCGACCCCCCCTATTTTGAAATCCTGGCTACGTTACTGCCCCCACCAAATGACGCCCCTGCATATGCCCAGGGGCGCCGAAGGTTTAACCACCTCCTGCCCGCACTAGGAAAAAATGGGGACACTGCTTTTGGGTTTGCCCAGGGCTCCACTGACCCTTAACGCGGCCCTGCCAGAGAGTCAATGAGGAAGGCCAATAAATGATAAATAATGATTATATAGAACTAATATTATGCTTATCATTGAATGTATAGTAGGCTAGCAATGGATTAACAACAGAGTGCACACACATTCAAATCTTTGGCTCATGTTCAAATAATCAAATCATGCATTTTCTAACTCGCCTACAGTTTCAAGTGTCCAATAACTTATACTTTACGTTTGTTTAACTCTAGCCTACACTTTTCTATATAAAGTGTATTAAAACAAATACCTTAGGTAAAGTACCTAAAATATATATTTAAGTTATTGGCTATTAACTTAAACATTCACTGGCCCAACCTATAATTACTGCAGTTATTTCTTAAAATTTACTTAGCCTAAAATAGTCTTTGTTTTATTTTGTTAAGTATTTTGTATGAAAAAGTATGCTTTTGTTTCTGTATATATTATGTGGAAATAAACATATTCATTCATTCATTCAGCTTATTGTAATGTCCTGATGATATGCAAGTTACTCATTGACATTTTTCATTGTTAATATGTAAAAGCTATCTTTTTCAGGCATTGGTTAAAACAGGTGGCCAATCAATTGATTTAGCAGCAGCTTATTTATTGAATAACGGTCTTCCTGAAGGTGAAAACCTAGATGACGAATGGGAGGATGTAGAGTACAATTTTAAAATGGTTTTTGTTGTAAATACTGACCTTAAAATGAGCATCGGGAAAACAGCTGCCCAGGTAAGGTTTAACTTAAGATCTATCTGCTTAAAAATCCTTTAAACACCAAGGATTTTTGATTGATTTAAGTCAATTTCCTATTTTCCTCATTAAACTTATGTCTTCTAATTTAATGAATATAAAAATCCAGAGTATTGAAAAACTAGTTATAAGTAAGCCTACACTATGTAGATAAAAGAAATGCATCGCCACAGCAAACCTGCAGACTTTCAGCAAATTGTTATGTCTGATTGGATTTTTACTATAATAAGATAATTTATTAGACAAATTTTATCAAAATCTATCTTACATTAAGAAAACTACAACAGTTTATTTTTCTCCATAAGAATACAACGGACATTTTAAATGTAGCCTATAGTTTTTTTTTACTTTACTTTTATTTTGCTGGTTCACCAACTCGTACAAGTGCAACGTTAACTCAATAAAATATTAATCGAAATTGGACCACAATTACTCTTTCCTATCTGAAAATTTGATAAAGTTTGAGCGAATATGTTTTTGGCCTTTGGGGACATCAAAATGAAAACGTAAATCAGTCCTTGGTCTAGCTCTCTGTGCCACCTACCACTGAACCACCTCTTCCCAATAGGGGAATTCCCTTAGAAAAGTTACAACCAGCCAAATAAAATAGCTCCACAATCGTGGTAGTCAAACCATTTGCTCCCCCATTGAGGGTAAAGATTTATTTAAAGGAAACCCAGCTTTGTAAAAAATACTAACTACCATTAGCTAAGCCCATAACTTTTTAGTACACAAGTAGGTATACCTATTTCTTTGATGGATTTGGTTTTATAATTTCTGTCTCATATCTTTAAGAAAACAATATTAAGGGGAAATCTGAACATTGATACCTTTATTCTAACATAGATTAAATTGGTTCTACATGTTTTTATTTCAGGTAGCCCATGGATGCCTTGGATTGTATAAAGATATAGTAGAAAAGCGAGAGTACAGAGATTGGAAAAATGGTATACATATGTGGACTGCTGAAGGGTAGGTGAAAGTTTAAATATATAATTAAATACCTCTGCTGCAGCAAACCTGCCGACTAAGCGAATTTTCATTTGTGTATATTGATTTTCAATTAATCTATTAAATTAACATTTATGTTTAACGAGTACCTAGGTTTGCTGCTACAGGGAAACTAATAAAGGGTGTTTTTATAAAAATATTCATAGCTTAGTATAAAACAAATAAATCTGCCAAGTTTGATCAAAATATATCCATAAACAAGCCAACTACAACATTTTACAATATTCTCCTTAAGAATAACATGGGAATTTTACATGAACAATTTTCTTAAACCTTCCCCGTAGCCAATAACCGTACCTACAAAAACACTTTGATATACTAAATTATTTGTATTTTTATTCTCTTTAAAATGTTGTGTTTTAAAGGTAAAAAATCTGAAAAACCAATATTTACCCCGTTAAACCCCGTTCCCATGGTCCGATCATGCTGGTTCGCAAACTCATTCAATTTTATCCTGCCTTACACCTTCAATAAATTTTTATCAAAATCGGACAAAAATTATTTAAGTTATCGTCTTTACGGACACACACACACATATATATAGATAAATAACAATTTGAACGAATAGTGTTTTTGGCCTCTAGGGACATCAAAATGGAAATGTAAATCGGTCCCGGGCCTAGGTCTTACCATGAGACCTACGGTAATAGCTACTTCCCTATAGGGAAATTTGCTAAAATACTTACGGTTTGCTTGTGCTATATTGGATATATTAAATATATATTCAAGAGTTTACTTTATGTTTTTTAATTAATCAAAGTGAATTATTTTTCAACTGAATGCCAACTAGGCAATCGGCGTCTAGGTTTTACTATCGGACCTGCAGTAATATATTATTCCCTATCTGGAAAATTCTGAATATTATAAGAAAACACAGTAGTACCTAAAATATACAGTGGTCAGGGAAATTAACAGAAAACTGTCTGGGAAAGTCAGGGAATTCACTTAACATATTTTTATGGGAACCCTGTGGAGGCATGACTTAGTGCATTATTCAAACCTCGTCATGTCTACGTATCATTATATTGATGTTTAACATATATTATCCCCGTGAGGGATGCAGCCAATACAGCCCTTCCTGTATCCGCCAATGAATTAAAGCAAAAAAAAGTATTTTTTTAACAGTTTCACAAAAGTAACTTAAGTCATAAAATCTCACACCGTGCCCTAAAAATCATTAATAACAAACTCCAAAGTATATTTCCCCCACTTTTGCTGATACCTACATGTAATAGTTATATGTCTTTGCTGAAGAACATAACATTGTCTGGGTTGGCGAGTGGTTATGGTGCTGCAAGTTGCTGATTTGCTCCTAAGAGATGTCGATTCTGGACCGTGGTGTAATTTTTCATTGGGCCAAACAATGATGCTAGCTAACAAAGAGTTGATGTTAGATTGAATCAAGACCAGAGTTTGCACCGTTACCTTAAAAAATCCTAAACAAAAACCTAGTTTTAGATATAGGCCTAGTTAAATATTAAATTTGATATAGCCCTACCGACAGAAATTTTTTATTTAGAAAGGTTGCCCAATTTGCAGGGCGTGTGTGTGGAGTTTTGATCATACATTTTAAATTAATAGCTAGTTTTTTTTACCTTAACATTCAACCATTTAACATTCAGTTTAATCAACGTCTTTTTCTCAGCCAGAAGAAAGTAGTTTTGAGTGGAAACAATGCTGAACAATTACTGCAACTACAGGAAAAGGCAAAGAGTTCCGAAGTACCATGCCATATCGTTCAGGTAATTCTCAAAATATTTTTAAGTAATTATGCAATATAGGCTTTTGAGTGATAGAGAGCTCACATGACATGTTATACTATATAAACAGTGCAATAGCGTTGTAAATAGTGTACCAAGGATAATGTATCCTCAGGGCCGTTTCGAATCTATGAGGCCACCGGTAGCTCACACCAAAGAGGCTTATCTATTTGCAAATTAAGTTCCCTACAAAAAATCAACTTGTTTCTATCATTCTCAGTTGTAATGTTAACAAATACAGAACATCCACCTTACTTCAGCTTACCTTAAGTCTCAGAGTTGATGTTCCTTACAGTTAATTTCTTGTATGATCTTGTTGTGATCTTATTGTATGAACAAGTTGTTTTTTATGAAATAAAGTTGTGTTAGTTCAACATTTGTAACAAATGTGTTACTTGAGCTCTACTCTTGTTTAGCTTTTTTCCACTTAACAAAAGCATAAAATGAACATTTATGAATCTTGAAGTAGTGACAGTCATTGAAGTTTTTAAAATTAATTGTTACAGTTGTACAATATGTAATCTTGATAATATAAGTAGTTAGACAGCAGTAATGTACATGTTCAAAATATTGCCAGACCTTCTATTTTTTAACTTAACCAATGGTTCAATCCCAAGCCAGCCTGAGTAGAAAATCTTTTTTATTGTATATGATGAAACTAAAAATATAAAAACCGCCATAATCCTTCCACAACATCTCAGGCACTGTGACTTGCTCTTTAAAAGTTATTTTTTCTGAGTGAGGCATGATTTAATGTTAAAACAAGTTTTTGTTATAGGATGCTGGCCATACTGAGGTAGAACCTGGTTCAGTCACAGTGCTGGCTCTATTTGGAGGTGAAGAAGAGGTGAACCAAATAACTGGCTCCTTGAGGTTATTAAAATAAAATTCATTTTAATTTTGACGTACGCAACTTCAATTTTGTAAATAAAATATCCATAAAACGGAATATCTCAGGTATATGTTTTTTTTTTTTACCATTTTATGAACTCTTTTAAGTGTATAAAATTGTGAAAATATAGGTCCATCTACGACATTGGAATGGAGGTTTTAAAAATTGAATTACATAATTACCCATTTTCAGTCCATACAAGTAATTTTGCCAATATTTTTAAGAGAACATTTTCTTACAATTTGTCATTTTGGCCTATTATTTGTTTGTTTTAACTTATCTGATCCAGAATCATGATTTAGCTTTTCCTTGATAAATTATTGTAGATAAAACATTAGTCTACAAACCTGAATGATTGAATTAGATAAATACTGTGACATTCATAATTTGTGTTATTTATTAGCTAGGCCTATCTATTCAAACCATAGGACACCGTATGCACTCTTATGACGTTGGCAAATAACACAGTTTACTTCAAGCTACAAAAACCTACTCATCTAAACATAACTTTCTATAAGATATGTTTGCATTGCAGTATAAACTGTAAACTGTGGATTTTGATTAAATTAACACAAAGGATAGAGGTTAGAGAAATTCACCGAGTGATCAAACTTTTTGTATTCTCCGCATGAACTTCATCTGTTGTATGAGAGATGTGAAGGCAGCCAATGCGTCCCCGGACAACACTGGGATCAGTTCCGGAGGTACGTTGTAGCCGTAGTCACCTTGGTCTCTCAGGATTATAGAGAAGACATATTTGATATCAACTCGGTGTCGTGCCCAGTTCTCAGGAGTACCTGGAATGAAAAGAGTTATATGAAAATTCTATTACAATAGACAATATTGGTGCTTGATAGCTCTTTTTTTACACTTAGGCCAAATCCATACACATATTACATAAGAAGTAGTTATTCGTAGACTCCAAATCAAAATTCAAATAACAATCTTACTCAGCCAGAAATCACACTAGCACAAAAACAATCCTGGAACCCACTAGCTGGATTCACAATTCAATTCAATTCAAATATCTTTATTCGTTTTTATGTACATTGTACAATAAATAGTGTCAAAATAATTACAATAAATAGTGTCAAAATAATTACAATAAATAGTGTCAAAATAGTTCAACAGGATAAAAAACAGCAAAACATGAGGAATGGTTATAGAAACAACAAATACATTTTACAAATCTATAGTAAGATAATTTCAACTATCATAGCGACTGAGGGAGGTAAAAAAATCTTCAAAAGAATATATTGCTAAATTTATTAAAAACTCTTTAAATATTTTTTTAAAACTGTTTGGATTTGTTTCTTTTCTAATATTTTTTGGAATAAATTTAAAAAATCTATTACCTACATAAGATGGTTTCTTTTCAAAACATTTAAAAAATACAAAATACATGCATACATATGCTCAAAGAAGAATTTTTTGCCACCTCGATACCAGAGACTACTATTAAGCATTCTTTAGTTATGGACAGAGCATATGGTTCCAAATATGGTTGACAGTTACGGCTAAAGGACACCCCCCTCTCACATGTACTTTATTGATGAGGTATGCACTTAGTGAAAGATGCAGTGTGTTGGTTTTTTAACTAACTTCAGCTACAGACTAATTTCACTTTTATTATATTTTGTTAACCTATCCTGCATGATGATTAAAAGCGTAAAAAAAAAATTGGAAATCTGAATATGTAAAGTAGTGTATCAAACGTCCCATAAGTGGGGTCTATTACTATTATTATTATTAATGTTCGTTTTCTGGCCTTAGTTTCACCTCATCCATTCAACTCCAGCTTGTATCATAAAGCTTGATTATTGTTACTTGTAATGAAATAAAATATGTTAAATGGGATTCCATAGAGTTTAGCTAGGCTATCTTTGCAACCAAGACCCTAAAAATTCCAAATCAGGGGCCCTATTTTTGAAATGGTTGAGATTTGAGTCCAATCGTCAACACTCAAACTCAATCAACAATAGGATTTGGTATTTTTTGAAATCCAACAGTTGAGAAGTGAGTTGGTAGTCACTAGTTGAGTGATTCGTTTGGAAAAGAAGTGGCAACACCGCATGAAATACAGATGACATCATTTTGAACCAATCACAGTGCAGAGTGGCTTGCGAGCTTTGATATAACCTCTCACTCTAAATTTTGGATCCTTTTCTCAGCTAATAAATCTAAATCACGTCTCAATCTGCCATATTTCGAGAATCTGATGTAAACTGTCAGCTACATCTGTAGAGATTGAGGTTATGTCTTAATCTCGGTGTCAGTAATTGCAAAAGTACCTTGTTTGAGAATTCGAAATATAAAATTAACTATTGAGGCTTGTTTTAGGCTATTCCTCATTAATATTAAACCCGTATGATAAATTATTTGCTTTTTCTTCGTCTCCAATCAAGAACAAACGTTGTTTTTTTTCTTGTTATTTTTAATTGTGTTTAATGTTAAAGTTAAAGCTATATTTGCCAATACACTGAAGCATACAGTAACTTAAATAAATTTGATCCCTATATTAGGTGTATTATGGTATTGAAAAAAACTAACTAATGATGTTTCTCTTTATAACAATCTTAATAACAATTATCTTATAATAAGTTTAATTAGTAGGCCTAGTTCAATTGCAGACCAATTAGTTGTATTGCAAACATTGGGATCAGGGATACAACCCTTGATTTGATTGGACACAGTAAATAAAAATGCAATTCATTCTACAGAAAGCAATAGAATAAAATATTGGGCATTATGTCAGTTATTGACAACAAATACCTAACCTTTTATCTCAGTTAGTAATAGAGTAAACAAAGCAATGACAATATGGTGTCAACTCAAAAAGAGAGAAGAAGAAGAAGGTGCAGTTTAAGTCAACTGTCAATCGTTTGAAAAATACGAAACTATTGGAAAGTGAGTGACTCACACTGAACTCAACAGTCAACCATTTAAAAAATAGGGACCCAGATGTGAAATTGTTGCTTTGTCACCCACACAAAATAGTTGTTTCAGTAAAAAAATATCTCGCAAAATCTAAATAAAACAGAGATTTTGACTTTCCCTCTCTAGTCACCTGACATTATTTCACTGAACTCGATGGTACCTACCTGGTACTATTGCGAGTTTCTTGGCTCCCGATCCAAAATTGTACATTGGACCACCCTGTTCTTTGATAGCAAACGCCATCTTCTGTGCCACATTCTTCATGTGCTTGTGGTCTCTAATCGGTGCTGTCACATGGGTCCAAGGGTAGATGATGTATTGCCCATAGTTGTGGATGGTTACAAACGTCTGTTAAAAAAAAATAATTGTTAGCTCAATAAAGATATTTTATTCTCTAAAGGTTTGGGTGAAAATGCAAAATACTAGTAGACAAATTTTTTTGGGGGACCTTAAACTCTTTTTATAATAAGTAGTAAATCTTTGGTAAATAAAAAGTTGGTACATATGACGTTTTATATTCAATTGCCAGAAGTTGGTCTTATGGAAAAGGCAGGAGGTGAATTTTCTGAAAAAATTATGTAAATATGATAAAAGGTTTCTCGCAATGGGTCTTAGTATGATTGGGGATTAGAGCTGGGGAGCAGAAACATTGTTCATAATCCAGAGCGAAATCAATACTCAACAAGAGTCTTACAATTAAAAAATATATTCTAATTTAAGATTTTGTGTTGACGGTCATGTAACTAAATTATCTTAGAGATAACTTTGCTAAAAAAACTAACAACTAAAGCATTATTATTCCAGTATCTTTTAACTTACATTAAGATTTGTTATGTTGTTCTTCACAAAGTCTTTCAACGCCTTGGTCTCGGCTGCTGAGAAAGGTTCTGTGCCGCTAAAGTTGGGCTGCCACGGCCGCTTGTGTCTCTTCCAACCGGTTTTCCAGTTGCGGTTCAAGTCGACTCCATAGTGAGTCCTGTTGTTCCACAATATTGGTTCTCTGTTTTTCCTCCAGCTTCTGTCGGTTTCACAAGAATATTTGTAGCCATCAGGGTTGGCTACTGGGATGAAGTAGTAATTGACATCAGAGTAGTTTGAGCAGGTTCCGTTCAACTTAGACTGAAGGATGTGGTTGATCAAGAATGTGGTTGCTGCTGGTCCAATGTGCTCATTGGCATGTATGCCTGAAAACAAAATAATTGTTGGAAATCAAAAAGTATTTATTTAGTCAAGTTACCTAAGTTGTCTAATATATAGAAACTGTGACTGTATTAGGCCAGGGACACACTTACCGGCGAAACCGCCGGATGCCAGATCCGGTGGCGCCGGAGCAAGTTGAGATACACAGGGAGGCATGGGACAGGCCACACTTCTCCGGTTCGGCGAAACTGCCGATCCGGCGGGAAAATGCTCCGGCGAAACCGCCGGATATTCTCTGCCTCGCCGGACCACCGGATCGGCAGTTTTGCCGGAGCAGTGGGTAGCGGGGCATTGTGCCTTATGGAGATGAACACACTTACCGGCGAAACAGCCGGACTGCCACTGCCCCCACTCCTCAATCGTGGTTCAACCTTTGAGGGTGGTATGGTTGTTTATGATTTTAATGCAGTGTCCAAGTGGTGTATTTAGTTTTGTTTTACTATTTAGTTAATTTAGTTTTTATTTTTAGTCTGTTTAGTTTTCTATATCATCATGGTAGATGTTGATATGGATTTACTTATTAGTTTGGTTCATGAGAAACCAGAACTTTGTGATAGGTCTTTGGAAATTTACAAAGACAAAAACAAAACGAGGGACAGCAGCAGCTGACGACAAATTTGTGCCGCACTGAATCCAGTCTTTCCAGCGTCTCATTTATGTGTTTTGTCCTTGTATTTGCACTGTAATCTTCGATGGCAGCTCATCGAATGAGGGGACAGACATTCGACAATAATTAAAAAAACTTTTTTTATTCATTTGTCAACTGTAAAAATAGAGTGTAAAAAGCTCCATGTAGATGTCTGTTCCAGAATAGGATGCACCCAAACAGTTCGGTTGTGTTTTCTCTTCCTTCTGTGGTGGATAAAACACAGCAAGGCCAACTTTTGAGGTCTTGACAGCTCCATTTCTAAGACTAAACTGTA